TGAGGAGGCGCGGTGGGGGGGGGGTGGCACTCACAGTCACTCAGGGAGTAGCCCTCAAACCCATCCAAGTCCTCCTCGCGCAGCACCTTGGCCAAGTCACAGCGGCTGATGAGGCTGGCCTGATTCATGGCCAGCAGGCAGCTGACCAAGGAGACGAGCAGCAGGCCGGACATCCCCGGCGGGGAGGAGGCGCAGTGGAGGGTGTGCAGTGGCGGGCCGGCGGGTCCCAGGGTCTCCCACACTGCCTGCTGGTTTGCTCCGAGGGCCTGAGGAATATGGAGAGAGCAGCCAAATGTCCTCGCTCACTCACAGCTCTCCACCCGGCTGTTTCCAGCCTCTTTCCTCTCATGTATTATTTTATAAATACTCTTTTATTGCAGAAAATCATAAACATTTACAAAAGGAGAAAGAATAGTGTCATGAACCTCCGTGTACCCATTGCCCAGCTTTAGCAGTTAAAAACCAAGGCCAATCTCCTTTCATCTGTAGAGCTCCACCTTCTTTTTAGTTGTTCTCACCCTTAGGATGGGTGCCCAGCTTGGGGCAGCATTTGGGTACAGGGCAGTGGAGTGAGGTGGGCGAAGGAGATGAATGAGAACTGCCCTTCACTAGTATTTGTGAGCTTGTATTTGCTTATGTGCTTTCAGAGGAAGGGCTAAGACACTGGACGCTGATCACCCCCAACCCCACACCCCGCATGACACGTGACTTTCCCTAAGGGGATGCCCTGCCTTGTGCAGTTCATGGGGGATGGTTATAGGTTCTATTCTTTTTTTTTCCATTCAGAAGTGCATATCATAAAGCAAGCAAGAATGATCTAGTTGTAGAAATAACCCTCACTTTCACTCTGTGTGTGTGTCAGTCAGACTAATTCATTTAAAGTGTACAATTCAATCATTTTCAGAGAACTGTGCAACTAATACCAGAGTCAATTTTAGAACATTTTCTGTGTGTGTGAGAGTGTGTGTGTGTGTGTAGGAGGAGGAGTGAAGAGCAAGGGCTCTGGATTCCCATTGCCTGCTTTCAAAGGCTGGGCTGCTGTGTGACCTTGGGCAACATACTTAACCTCTCTGGGTCTCCTTTGTAAAATGAAGATATGCTAATACCTACTTGTTAGGCTTATTGTGATGATTGAAGGAAATAATAAGTGCCCAGATCGTGGTTTCACTTTTCCCCCCTCTGAATGGGAACCAGGACTCCAGGGAAAATGGCTGATTCCCAGGCTGGAGATGGAAAGGGCACAAGATAAATCTGGATTATTTTGTGCAGAAAGTAAGGAAGTGCTGAAGATAGAGACTGAGGCATGTCAAATGGACATGAGAGCCAGCTCAAAGGGGTACCCACTGGGCAAATCTGGAACAGCATTTTCGGGTAACAGCTTTATTGAGATGTAATTCACAATATATAATTGACATACCATACAGTTAATTCATTTAAAGTGTACAATTCATTTTCACAGAATTGTGCAACTAGCACAACAGTCAATTTTAGAGCATTCTCATCAACCCGAAAAGAAACCCCATATCCATTAGCAGTCACTCCCCATTCCACTTCCCTCCAGCCTATGGCAACCACTAACCTACTTCCTATCTCTAGAGCTTTGCCTATTCTGGATGTTTCCAAAAAATGAAGCCACATACTTAGTGTGGCCTTTTGTGTCTGGCTTCTTTCACTTAACATACTGTTTTCAGGGTTCATCCATGTTATAGCATATACCAGGATTTCTTTCCTTTTCATGGCTGAATAATATTCCATTGTACAGATATACCACAGTTAGTTTATGTATTCATCAGTTTATGGACATTTGAGTTGTTTCTACTTTCTGGCTATTATGAATAATGCTGCTATGAACATTTGTGTAAAGTTTTTTGTGTGGACAAATGTTTCCATTCTTTGGGATATATACCAAAGTGTGGAATTGCTGGGTCACATAGTGACTTAAAGTTTAAACTTTTGAGGAATTGATGGACTTCCAAAGTGGCTGCACCATTTTACATTCCTATCAGCAGTATGTAAAGGTTCCAATTTTTCCACATCTTCAACAACACTGTTTTTATCTGTCTTTTTGATCAAAGCTATCCTAATGGTATGAAGCAGTGTCACATTGTGGTTTTGATTTGCACATGCCTGATGGCTAATAATGTTGATCATCTTTACATGTGCTCATTAGCCATTTGTATATCTTTGGGAAAATGTCTATTCAGATCCTGTGCCCATTTTTTCAGTTGGATTATTTGTCTTTTCCTTATCGAGTTGTAATGTTCTTTATATATTCTGGATATTAGAACCTTATCGGATACAATGATTCGCAAATAGTGCCTCACATTCTGTGAGTTACTTTTCACTTACTTGACAATATTCTTTGAGACACAAGAGTTTTAAATGCTGTTGAAGACTGATTTATTGGTTTTTTTCTTTTGTTGCATGTGTTTTTGGTATCATATCTGAGAAACCAATGCATGATGGTTTCCGAGTTAATCTGGAACAACTTGATCATCAAAATAAATAATGATAGTGACAGATAATAACACATTGACTGAGATAAGAATCCGAGAGTTCTTAACAGTAATAAATAGGCAAATAGATACATAATGGGGATGAAGGGGGTGCGCTTCCTAACAATAAAATTGAGTGATAATGTGGAAGTAGTCATGAGAAGTAGGAAAATCACCATTCTGAAATCATCATAGGTCAGTTTGAGCAAGAAAAAATCATCAGTAGATGCTAAATCCGAGGTGGTGGGATGCCTGATGAAGAACGGGATATGGAAATGGTCTTAAAGTGTCTCCCATAGAGTGCATATTAGTTGCGTGAGAAAAACAGTGACACTACAGTGAAGAAAGCAGACAGGATTTTGACCTTGTAATCAAAATTAACACCACCAGTGAGGGGCACAGAGCGATTACGTGCCTCCGGATGGGATACCCTGAGAAGGAAACACATCACTTACGTAGTATTCTGCTCAGGGATGCATAACCTTGAGGGGACATCAGACAAAGCCAGCCTGAGGGAAAACCTATAAAATAACTGGCCTATATTCTTCAAAATGGTCAATGCCACAAAAGCATAGAATGAGGCTATTTCTAGCACGAGGCATGTGTGTGTGTGTGTGTGTGTGTATCTTTCCCCTTAAACTAGACCCTGAGGGTTCCTCTACCCACTGGCTTCATGAGTCAGGCAGCTTCTGCTTGGACAAGATGCTGCCCTGATGCCCTGTTTCCTCAGGGATGTTTTGTTCTGTTTTCTAAGACTCACTCACAGCAGCCTGTGCTTATAACCATTCTTTTGCTTCTCTTTCCCACCCTAGAGTTGCCAGATTAAGCAAATAAAATTACAGGATGCCCAGTTAACATTAGAATTTCAGACAAACATCAAATACTTTTTTAGTATAAGCATGTCCCGTGCAACCATATTCTGCCCTGACTCAGTAGGTTCCTTCAGAGACAGGTATCACTGAGCTTCACAAAGCAGGGAGCCCCATCTCTGCCCCTGAAGCCCCCTCTTGGGGTTCCCTTGGGGAAGACAGTGGTTCCGGCAGGTGCACACCCACCCACCTTCCCACTCCACGCTTACCTCTCTCCTATCCTTCTCTGGCCCCAGGTCCCACCTCCTCTTCCTCAGGAACTACCCTTTAGCCCCGCCCTGCTCACCGCTCTCCATTGTCTAAAGATGGCGGGAGTACTGGGCCACCCCCACCTTCTGGAACCCCAGTTCTGTGACGTCATCACTCTCCAGGGAATACTCTGGTCTTGACCACGCAAACTGGCTCAGCCTTGAGGTGTACCCTACCTTCAGGCAGAAGTGGCAGACGGGCCTGGAGGGACTGCTGACGCTGTGAGGCAGACCGCCGGGTGGGACAGGGTGGAGAGCGCTGGCTGATCTGTCTGCCCCTCCCTTCCCTCCTGGGAACAGGACTATCTGTGAGGCAACGCCTTCCCCCATGGGGTTTTAGTGGGGCTGCCAGTAGCAGGGCCCTGCCCTCCATGTGACAGGGTATGCCCTGGCCGCAACCAGTATGTCTTGACTTGAAATTAAGCAGAGCAGCTCAGCTTCTTACAGGAAGCCTTGGGTGGGTGTAGGGCCAGAGGCCGACAGTTTGGAATCCTGTGGATATAGCCCATCTGAGAGACCAAGCCTCCTTGAAGAAGAGACAGAATTCCAGTCCCAGGATCCAATCTTTCTGCAAACTAAACACGCTCTAGTTCTTACTGCAACCTTGCAATACAATAAAGGTCCCTTCTTGTGTAAACACATTAGAGTTGGGTTTCTGTCACTTGCAACCAAAGAGACCTGCCTAATAGAGTCAGCATGGGGCTAACCATCCTTGGAGTGGTGACCTGACAACCTGTTACCTCTCCATGAAGGCCACACATGCTAGTAACATAAGTCACCAAGGAAGTCTGGGAGATACTTCCACCAACTGCAGCAAAAGGGAGACAAGAGAGTTTTGTTACCGATCCTCACCCCACCCTTGGAGACAGGTTGATAGGGTCTGACAGGAAGTAGGAAGAGCTTTCTAAGTGGGCCGTGCTGCCCTGTACCCTCCGTCTCTGGACTTCCCTCCCCAGCAGGACAGCAACACATTACATCTTGGGATGTGAAGCCAGCAGGACTTGGGTGGAGGTAGAACCCTTGGAAGAGGGCATTCTCGGGATACCACCTCATGAGGTACTGCTTGTGACCAAAAATCTACAGGTGCTGCAGCTGACCCAAATAACCTTGTCTGTGCAGAATTAGAGCCCTGGGCGGAAGGAGAGGTTTCTGTAGCCCAGGTCCACATGCTGGAAATTGGGCCAACAGGGGGGTTCCCTGCAGCTTAAAGTCTTAGAGAGGATGATGACAGCTCTCAAAGGGGGACCTGAGGGGCCCTCTACCCTCCACCCACCCAACCGTGACAGACATGAGCCCTAGTTGGCTTCCTACCCAGTCAAGGAACAGGAAAACCCAACCTGGGGTCCATGAATAAATTAAGGATGTCACAGCCTAGGGCAAGAAAACACGGAGGCCACAGATCATCCGTCTATAAAAACATTTACAAGTTATAAATCAAGCTAACAAGCTGCCAACTGAAGGTTATGTTTGTAGTAGAAGGTTCTACAGCCTTGTTGCCTCCAAAGCATTGCTGAACACTTTCTTCCATAAAATCATATTCTGGCTCCTGAGAGAGGCCCCA